TTCCTTCCTTCCTTCCTTCCTTCCTTCCTTCCTTCCTTCCTTCCTTCCTTCCTTCCTTCCCTCCTTCTCTCCCTCCTTCCTTCCGAGAGTCTCATGCATCCTAGGCTGGTCTTGAACTCAGTATGTGGCTGAGGATTACCTTGAACTTCAGATCATCCTGCCTCCAGAGTGCTAGTTTTACAGGTAATGGCTACTATACCTGGTCTATGTGGTGCTGAGGACTGAACCCAGGACTTCTGCATAGTCGGCAAGTTCTCTAGCAACCGACCACATTCTCTGCCCCTCCCCCAGCTTCTTTAGAAAGAAGGTTTTTAAGGAGTTTTGTTGTTGTTTGTTTTGGGAAGGTGGTATCTATGTCTTTGCTCTCCTGGAGCTCCCCTGTAGACCTCTACTGTAGGTTTGAGTAGACTTAAAACTCATAGAGATCTGCCTCTGCCTCCCAGATGCTGGGAGTAAAGGTGTGTGCACTACCACATCTGTCTATAAACCTTGTTGTATAGCTGATTTTTCCCCAGTCAGATCTAGTCAAGGATCTGGGGAGGTTTCTGAGCTACTTTTTAAAAAAACTGTAGGTGTATAAATATTTTACATGTGTTTGTAAATATGTGTACTGCATATGTGCCTCGTGCCCGTGGACATCAAAAGCAAGCAAGCAGATCTCCTGGAATTAGACTAACAGATAGCTGTGAGCCACCTGATGTGAATCCTCTACAAGCGTGGCCCTGGTTTTAACCACTGAATCCTCTCTCCAGCCCTACTTCTAATATCCTGGACAAGAACCCTCATGCCTAAACCCAAGTGTTAAAGTGTTTAGGCACCACACAGGAAGGGTGGTGGCAGCTCAGCAAGAACTGTGGCTCCTGGGGTGAGAATGTACTAGTCCCTTGCAGGGATGCTGCCTGCATCTCCAGGGGTCTTTGGGCAGTTCTGCCTCCACAAGGGAAAGTGCTGTTGTTGAAGAACAAGCAGCTTCACACTTTTGGCATGACTTTGATTGAAAGCCATTGGGAAGGTGTCCCCACCTCATCATCTTTTTGGGAAGGAATCTGGTGGCCTTTTTGTCCCTGGACCTTTTACTTTTCCCTGCTATGGTGAAGGGGTAGGGGAAAAGCCATTTTGTGAAATCCCCCACTCCAAAGACTGCTCACTGTCTGCTCTGTCCTCCCAGGAATGGGCACTACAGACCATGTCATCGTCCTGGCATCCACGAATCGAGCTGATGTTTTGGACAATGCTCTGATGAGGCCTGGGCGACTCGATAGGCATGTCTTCATTGATCTTCCCACTCTGCAGGTCAGAACTGCTGGGAAGGAGGGGCAGCTAGCTTTGCATAGCACAGTTCTTGTGGCCTGGGCACAGCCTTTCTTCCTTGGGAAGCTCTAGTTTTGTAGTTGTCATTGCTCTTTCTCTGTGGCTTAGGCTTGGTGTGACATTACCATGGCCACTGGGGCCCAAGTATGTGGCCCTCGCTCCTCTAGGAACCATAAAAATACCCAATGTCCTTTTGTAGTTGGTTTGGTTTTTGTGACAGAGTCTTGCTAAGTCTCCCATGCTGACCTTGAACTTGTGATGATCCTCCAGCTCTCAAGCTTCAACTTTTTTTTTTTTTTTTTTTTT